TATTAGCCTGATCCATCTTTAGGGCGCGTTTAGTTGGCCGGAATTTGGATGTGCAAAGTTTGCATAGTGCCAGATTCCCTACTGTAGCATTTCGTTTGTATTTGGTAATAATTATCCAACTGTTGACTAATTAGACTCAAAATGTTCGTCTCGCAAAGTACAACCAAATTGTGCAATTAGTTTTTAATTTCGTCTACTTTTAGTATTCCATGCATGTACCACAAGTTTGATGTGACGGAAAATCTTCTTTTTGCATAGTGCCAAAGTTGGAAACTAAACCAGGGCTTAGTAGAATTCTCTTCGTTTTTTTTTTAAAAAAAATAATGGAGCTGCATGCTGACTTCAAGGTAGTGAAGCCTTGGCAGAATTCCATACCCCAATAATGCATTAAATCTATTTTCCATGAACAACTAGTATAACTAACTTGATTGAGCAGTCAGTCATCCACTTGGATGTATGTAACTGACACAGCAATATTAGAAATTTAGAACTTGAAGGCACACATCAACACCAGGCCACCAGACGTCAGCTCATGAGATGGCCACAGCTGCCACGCAAGTTAGAACAGTCTGCTGCAATTCTCTCCCACATCCATGCTGTTCATACTGGATTCTTCTGATGACTGACGAACAAACAATAAATAAATGAAACGCCAGTTTCTAAATGCTGCAATTCTTTGGGGGCATGCGTGTTCACCTCGTCGCCCACTAGTGCCAGGACTGCATCGACAATTTGATCACGAATTCGCAACCATTTCAGTGCATATATCCTTGCTGCTTCTGCTGCTGCACTTTGGAGCAGGATGGGACCTCAGCAGAGGTGGCTGGGGTTCATCTTGGTCCTGCAACAGGAGACCAAGGAGCACCCAAGAATCAAGTGGTCGCTGTCCTGACGCCACACTGTGCTTCTTCTCCCTTTATCAAGCACATGATAGGAGATTAGGAGTGTCAAAATTGCTGCGTTCTCGAGCAAACAAAGTCCTACCTTAGGTACCTTAGTACAGTGTTATTGGCCACGCGTGCTCTGGCGTGAGATTCTGGTTAGTGGTTAATGAGTGCTTAGTGCTGAATAAAGTAGACGGGAACACTGTTATTAATGAAGTAACGGTGGTGTTGTGTAACGGGGGAGACAAGGGTGGAACACATGTGCACTGCACTATAGCACAAATACAGAATCATGGTTGCAGTAACTACACAAATACCGCCAAACATGAGATGAACTCAACATGAGAAAATACGACTCAGTAAAATAGGTCAAGCATATCGAATGTACACATCCATTACTTTGTCCATAGCGGGCTAGTTGCAAAAACTAGTATTTTAAGTACAACGGAAACGCTCCATACAGGGCGTCCATCCATCCGAACGGACCCGTACTCGCCCCCGCCCGCGTCGCCTGCTCGCACCGCTGGCGGGACGGACCCCGTCCTCTCTCGCACCGCCCCCACTCGCGCCCCGCCGCCCGCCCACGCCGCGCACGGCGAGCCTGACGCGCTAGGCGCTCGCTCTCTTGCTCCCAGACTCGCGCCTCCAGTCATGACTGTGCTCCATCTGCCTACCCCTGCTCCGTGGTTTCGAGCTCCGCGTTGACGAGCCTCCATCCGTCCAAGCAGCAAGCAGATGCTACGTTGAAAGCGCATGTTGCAATAGTATGTTTTAAGTGTTTCAGATGTTTCCAAGGTATGTTGCAAGTGTTATATATCGATGTTGCAAAAGTAGATCGGATGTTGCACATGTTATAATGGCTATACACGTATGTTTCAAGTGTATGTTCCAAATATTTCATCTGTTCCAGACGAATGTTGCAAGTGTTTTGTCTGGATGTTGTAAAAATATATCTAAATGTTGCATATACATGCATGTTGCTAGTATATGTTTCAAGTGTTTTTACGTGTTCCATACGTATGTTTGCAAGTGTTTCTCTGGATGTTGCATATGTTTGCAATGGTTTTCAAATATTTTTCAGGCATTTTCGCAAGTGTTTCAGACGCTTGTTTCAAGTGTTTCATCTGTCTTCTTTTGTATGTTGCAACTATTGCATCTGGATGTTTCAAAAGTAGATCGAGTATTACACATGGGATGCGCGTGGGAAGCGGCCGGTGGCACGGACGACGTCCGGGGTGGCACGGGACCACTACTGGTACGTTCCCTCGCGAGTCTGACGCGCTATGCACTCATTCGCTCCCTGTGCGGGCAGCGTTCGGACACTAGCTTCCGAATCGGATGTCCGGACGCTAGCAAGTCCGCAAGATATAACCCAAAACACACTCCCTAGGTTCTTCGCCAATAGCTGCTTTCCTATTTCTTGGTTACCAAGCGTGATAGGTGTGCCCAGCCTACCGAAGTGCCACAGACGACCATACCCGAGTTTGCTCGAGTGACCATATCAAGGTCTCCGGTAAGCGGTAACCTAAAAAACAATTTATCAGTAGCACCTGAGTATGGGTTATACTCATATGACTTATCCACATTTATTAAATAAAATAATATGGTGCAGTGGATGCAGCAGAGTCATAGGTAAATAAAATTGCTAAAAGAGTAAAGGCGAGTAGAGTATTTTGAACCCAACAGAAAATGTAAGGTAAATAACGGGTATGAAAACTTTGCATATTGGACTTTAAGGAACAAGAGCAACTCGAATCTTCCATGAGTTCCACGTGTCTAAATGAAGCTAAATGTTAAGAACTTTTCTTATAACCGAGAGAGTAGCAATTTGAATCAATTTAATAACCTTGTAGAGGCCGGTGTACAACTTTTTCCACAAAGTGCAAGACTGAACCTCCATATCTTGGGGCCACATGTAACGCCTTCAACATTTTGCATGTTTGGCCAAGACACCAATGAACGACCATAATATTGGTCAGGTATACCGGTGTCTCACTTAGCTATCCCTCGCTCTAAGATGTGCCGACTCCACTAGGTGAATCGGTCACAACAATCCACTAGGCTTATTGAACCAATAATTTGGCACTGTGTACCAAAAATTTCTCAAAACAGATATAACAATTCTTCGATCATGTTTCCTTCATATCTTTAATTTCCTAAGGGGGACCATGGTTATTAATCTTAGCTGAGTGAATGTACATCTCCAAGAACTACTATTCTCACGAGTTAGGGCTTCCCAACGCTTGCTTGACTTGTACTATAACCAAGCATGGCTAAGCAAATTAACAGTGACCTACTCCATAAAGGTATGCATGCATATCATTGATTTCGACTACCAATTATACGAGTCATTTTGTACAAGGTAGTGTTTAAAAGGCATGCATGAATTGGTTTTAAAAGGCATATACACGTATTGATTGGATTGAGCAATCCAGAATAACTTATAATCTATGATAAAATTTAAATATTTGATATATTGTATTTTAGGATGGAGAGAGTAAGATAGCGGTGTACTCCCTCCGTCCCGTTAAAAGTGTTGTTCTAGGATGTGGGGGAGTAGCAAGGAAGTAGAGAAAAGAACTGTATACCCATAAATTTACAATCATTACTTGTGGTTCCTATACAAGCAAGAACAGATCAATTCCACCTTCACACCGCTCAGATCTACTCCACCGGAAGGGTCAGGCCTTTGTGCCATCAGCAGCACCACCAATGGCCACCGAGGAAGGCTTCGGAACAGGGGAAGGCGAGGCCGCCACCTGTGCGCCGTCGGAGGATGCGGACGGCGAGCCAGGTCTAGGGATGCGAGTGAGGCGGACAGCGTAGATGATGCAACCGGAGGTGGCACGGGCGGAGGACAGGGATGCCACCGCATGTGGAGAAGAGATGCATGCAGGCATTGCCTTCCTCTCTGCTGTGCGGGTCACGCCCTCCTCGCGTGCACCTCCTCTCTGTCACGCAGCCACACCCACCCTCGCGCACCTCCTCTCTGCCGCATGGTTTTGGTGACGGAGGAGAGCCGTTGGTTGAGGAGAAGAAGAGGGAGGGTGCCAAATCTCGATGGAGGAGAAGAGGATGGGGGCGCCGGTTGAAGAGAAGAAGACGGAGGGGAAGATCCATGCCAGTGCTGGTCGCTCTGTCACGGGCCCATTTGCCTCCACGCCGGCCACATCGGCCGTCTCCATCTTCACGCTGAGCCACGCCACTAGCTCCGCCTCGACACCGGATCTCTCCGCCTCTGCCTCCACGTCAGGGGCGCGTTGCATGCTCTGCCTCAATGTTGGGCTGCTCTGTCTCCGCCTCTGTGTTGAGCGGTGCTACCCTCTCCGCCACCGCACCAGTGCTATGGGACTTCTCCGCCTCCGTGCCGGTGTTGTCATCTTTTTTCTTTTAGCAAACGAGCGAGCGGAACGAGGGAGGAGGTGAAAGGATAGGTCTGCAGGCTAAGGTGGATAGGTTGGGACCCTTACCTAAAACGACACTCTTATTGGGACAACTCTCTAGTGCTAAAACGACACTCTTATTGGGACGGAGGGAGTAAGGTTCAAGAGCTTTGCTATCTTCGAAGCAACAGTTTGCGTTGCAGTTTCAGCCACCAGAACTGAGCTAGGTAGCATCTTTAAATTGGGCCTGTATGTAACTGGATAGAGTTTTAGTACTTCCTAGGATGAGCAAGAGGATCCCATGACCTCCCATCTTTGGGGAATGGGAGCGATCATCAGGTGGTAGAGACTAGAGAGGCATATGTTGAGCTATGATCCAAATTCAAGCTTGGACCGAAGCGAAGTGGCCCATTAGCATTAAGAGGGACTACACCATCTATTAGTTCTGTATTGCTAATAGACGAGGGTGTGGGGTTTTTCCTCCCTATATATACTTCATGTAAGCCATCGTCTTGAGATAAGAAAAGTTGTAAATCCCCGACATTTGTAACCTCACCCGATATAGTGAAGATTTGCTGGTTGGTGCCCGTGGTTTTTTCCCTTCCACCTAGGGAGGGTTTTCCACGTTAAAATCTCGTGTCCCCTGTGCTTGATCTACTGTTCTTTGTCGTTTATATTGTCTATCGTTTCTAACAAGTGGTACCAGAGCTTGGTTTCACCTTAGGGTTTCGCGATGGCATCGATGAAGTTTGATCTACCGCTGCTGGATTACAAGATGAGATTTGCACTGTGGCAAGTCAAGATGCGGGCGATTCTGGCACAATCTTTGGATCTTGATGAGACGTTGGATGGTTTCGGAGGAATAGGGCAGAAGTCCTGGACCACTGAAGAGAAGCGGAAGGATCATAAGGCTCTATCTCTAATTCAACTTCATCTACATAATGATATTTTGCAAGAAGTGCTACATGAGAAAACTGTCGTAGAACTTTGGCTCAAGCTGGAATTGATCTACATGTCCAAGGATCTAACCAGTAAGATGCACATGAAGATGAAGTTGTTTACGCACAAGCTGCAAGAAGGTGGTTCGGTGATGAACCACTTATCGATCTTTAAGGAGATCGTTGCCGACCTAGTGTCGATGGAGGTAAAATATGATGATGAAGATTTAGCTTTTCTACTGTTATGCTCACTGCCTACTTCGTTTGCAAATTTCCGAGATACCATACTATTAAGCCGTGATGAACTAACGCTTACGGAAGTATATGAGGCCCTCCAAACGAGGGAAAAGATGAAAGGTATGGTTCAGTCTGATGTGTCGTCCTCCAAGGGTGAAGTGTTGCTGGTTAGAGGCAGGCCTGAGCAGAAAACCTACAACAACAACAATAATCGAGACAAGAGCAAGTACAGTAAAGGCCGTTCCAAGTCCAGAGACAGGGATAAGTTCTACAGGTATTGTAAGAAAGATACTCATGTCATTGAGGATTGTTGGAAGCTATAGAATAAGGAGAAAAGAAACGATACGTATAAACCAAAAAAACAAATCCGATGGTGATGGTAAGGCCTCTGTTGTCTTCGCTGTTGATACTTCTGATTCAGGAGACGTTCTTGTTGTCTTTGCTGGTTGTGTTGCTGGTCGTGATGAATAGATACTTGATTCTGTATGCTCATTTCATATATGCTCTAACAGAGATTGGTTCAGTTCTTACGAGTCTGTGTAGAGTGGAGATGTCGTGCGTATGGGAGATAACAACCCACATGAGATCGTGGGCATTGGCTCCATTTAGATCAAGATGCATGATGGCATGATATGCACACTGAAAGATGTGAGACACATACCAGGGATAGACAGAAATCTCATCTCCCTCAGCACACTTGATGCTAAGGGGTACAGACACTCCGATTCAGGTGGAGTGTGTAAGGTATCAAAAGGCTCTCTCGTTCATATGATAGGTGATATGAATTCTGCAAAGTTATATGTTCTTAGAGGAAGTACTTTACATGGTTCCGTCACTACTGCTACTGTTTCTAATGATGAACCAAGTAAAACTAATCTCTGGCATATGCGTCTTGGGCATATGAGTGAACTTGGTATGGTAGAATTGATCAAGAGAGACCTGCTGGATGGCTGCACTATGGGTAAGATGAAGTTCTGTGAGCACTGTGTTTTTGGTAAGCATAAGAGGGTAAAATTCAATGCATCTATTCATACCACCAAAGGTACACTTGATTATGTACATGCTGATTTATGGGCGCCATCTCGTAAGCCTTCTTATGGTGGTGCTCGTTACATGCTTACCATTATTGATGATTACTCTAGAAAAGTGTGGCCTTATTTTCTGAAAAATAAAGATGATACTTTTGCTGCTTTTAAAGAGTGAAAAGCTATGATAGAAAGGCAAACTAAAAAGAAGGTAAAATTGCTTCGTACTGACAATGGCGATGAATTCTGTTCAGATGCTTTTAATGATTATTGTAGGGAATAAGGTATTGTCAGGCACCACACCATCCCATACACTCCTCAGTAGAATGGTGTGGCTGAGCGCATGAACCGAACCATCATCTCGAGGGCTCGTTGCATGATGTCCAATGCTCGTATGAACAGGTGTTTTTGGGCTAAGGCTGCTAACACCACCTGTTACTTGATCAACCGGTCACCTTCTATCCCACTTAATAAGAAAACTCCTATTGAGGTATGGTCTGGTATGTCTGTTGATTATTCATAGTTGAGAGTTTTCGGTTGCACTGCTTATGCTCATGTTGATAATGGAAAGCTAGAACCTAGATCCATTAAGTGCCTATTTCTTTGTTATGGTTCTGGAGTTAAAGGATATAAGTTATGGAATCCTGAAACTAAAAAGACTTTCATGAGCAGGAGCGTTGTTTTCAATGAATCTGTTATGTTTAATGACAGCTTGTCCACAGATGTTTCACCAGTTAGTTCTGATGAGGAGCAGGAACATGTTAGCGTGCAGGTGGAGCACGTAGATGATCAGGAAACTGAAATTGTTGATAATAATGTTCATGATATTGTTCAGCACTCACCTACTGTTTTGCAGCCTCAAAATCAGTTTATTGTAGATCGTAGAACAAAGAGGAATTGTGGACCTCGTCCACGTTTAATTGAGGAATGTGATATTGTTCATTATGCCTTTAGTTGTGCTGAACAGGTGGAGAACATTCATAAGCCGGCTACGTACACTGAAGCTGTTGTTTCTGGTGACCGCGAGAAGTGGATTTCCGCTATGCAAGAGGAGATGCAGTCACTCGAGAAAAATGGCACATGGGATGTTGTGCGCTTGCCTAAACAAAAGAAGGCCATTCGTTGCAAATGGATCTTCAAAAGAAAGGAGGGTTTGTCTCCTAGTGAGCCTCCAAGATTTAAGGCAAGGTTAGTAGCAAAATGTTTTAGTCAGATTCCTAGCGTTGATTATAATGATGTGTTCTCTCCAGTTGTAAAATATAGTTCAATTCGTATATTTTTCGGTATTGTTGCTATGTGAGATCTTGAGCTTGAGCAGTTAGATGTAAAGACTGTGTTTCTACATGAAGAGCTCGAGGAGATATACATGGACAAGCCAGAACGGTTCATAGTACCTGGTAAGGAGGATCTTGTTTGTAAATTAAAGAGGTCCTTATATGGTTTGAAACAGTCTCCTCGTCAATGGTATAAAAGGTTTGATTCTTTTATGATGTCATATGGTTTTAAGAGGTCTAAATTTGATAGCTGTGTGTATATTAAATTTGTTGATAGATCACCTATATATTTGCTGTTATATGTTGATGATATGATTGCTGCCAAGAGCAAGAAAGAAATCACTACGTTGAAGAAATTGTTGAGTAGTGAGTTTGAGATGAAGGATCTTGGTGCTGCTAAGAAGATTCTAGGTATGGAAATTACAAGAGACAGAAATTCTGGTTTGTTATTTCTTAGTCAGCAAAGTTACATTAAGAAAGTTCTTCATCGTTTCAACATGCATGATGCAAAGTCTGTTAGTACTCCTATTTCTCCTAATTTCAATTTATCAGCTTTACAATGTGCTAGTACGGATAAGGATTTTGAGTACATATCAAGAGTTTCATATTCTAGTGTTGTTGGTTCTTTGATGTATGCCATGGTTTACCCTCGTCCTGATTTATCATATGCTATGAGTTTGGTTAGTAGATACATGGCTAATCCTAGTAAAGAACATTGAAAGGCTGTTCAGTGTATTTTCAGGTACCTTCGTGGCACAACAAATGCTTGTTTGAAGTTTGGCAGGACTGATAAGGGACTCACTGGCTACGTGGATTCAGATTTTGCTGCTGATTTGGATAAGAGATCTCTCACAGGTTATGTGTTCACTATTGGTGGTTGTGCTATGAGTTGGAGGACAACATTGCAGCCCGTTGTTGCCCTGTCTACCACTGAAGCAGAATACATGGCTATTGATGAAGCATGTAAAGAATTAGTTTGGTTGAAAGGTTTGTGTGCTAAGCTTTGTGGAGATGATTCTTGCATTAATTTATTTTGTGACAGTCAAAGTGCTATATGTCTCACTAAAGATCAGATGTTCCATGAGAGAACAAAGCACATTGATGTCAAATACCATTATGTTCGCGATGTGGTCGCGCAAGGTAAGCTGAAGGTATGCAATATAAGCACACATGATAATCCTACTGATATGTTGACAAAGCCAGTTCCAGTTGCTAAGGTTGAGCTTTGCTCAAGCTTAGTTGGTATAACTGTTTAGCCCAAGAGGCTATTTGGCACCAGAAGTATTTCTTTGTTGTTTCAGGGTGAAGGTTCATTTTATGCTATAAGGAGGAATTTGTCTCAACGTGGAGTTTGTTGAGCTATGATCCAAATTCAAGCTTGGGCCGAAGCGAAGTGGCCCATTAGCGTTAAGAGAGACTACACCATCTATTAGTTTCGTATTGCTAATAGACGAGGGTGTGGGGTTTTTCCTCCCTATATATACTTCATGTAAGCCATCGTCTTGGGATAAGAAAAGTTATAAATCCCCGATGTTTGTAACATCACCTAATATAGTGAAGATTTGCTGGCTGATGCCCGTGGTTTTTTCCTTTCCATCTTGAGAGGGGTTTTTACGTTAAAATCTCATGTCCCCTATGTTTGATGTACTGTTTTTTTCGTTTATATTGCCTAACGTTTCTAACCGCATATGTATAGCATCTGATTCCACTGAGACCGCTGGCAGTGTCAGCAAATATAGCTCAGTGAAAGCCGCTGCTCTCTGATGCTGCAGTGAAGTGGCTTGGCCTGTAACCTGACCCTGCATACGTGGAATCCATACCTTGGCGCTGACGTGCTGTCGATAATTGGAGAGTTTGAGCAGATGCAGCAGGAGGCTGATAAGCTTGGTGACAGTGGCAGAGAAACAAACCATATGATTGTGGTTGTGGCCACATTCGATGCAGGCTTTTTCCTATATTTTACGCACAAAACAGGCATTTCTGACGAACTGCCATGCCCCTACTCACCGAAACCTCGTGACACGGCACTGTTGCATCATTTGGCCTCTAACATTCTTTAACACCACCGATCACAGCTGTGGCGTCCTGAGACCACGCAGATAAAATAAACCGGGCGCCCGCACAGCTGGGAGGGACACATCGACATCCAGTTGACGAACGTGTATGATTGGCGCAGTGCACCCGTGGTGGCCTCCCATTGCATGCCCTGCGACAGCCGGCGGCCTCTGGTGACGCACAGGCTGGCCTGGGTGCACGCCCTTCCATGCATGCCTTCCACATATACTCATACATCGGTTGGCTGGTTCGTATCGTTGTTAGTTTATTTATACGAGGAGAAGTACTACTGTCTGGTTCAGATAAATAGTGTTTTTATGAGGGGGCTACCTAGCTCCAGCCGAACGAGCTGATAGTACGCCCAGCCTACCCCCGGGTGATTTAGCATGTTCGTTTGGCTGTGGCTTGTCGTAAACGATCGTAAATTTTCAGTCGAAATAGTATTTTTCTCTTACACAAACCAATCAACAGTACTTTTTCACGAATCAGCAACAACGAATCAGCCAACCGAACGTGCTGATTATTCGCTGGAGTAGGGCGTGGGAGCGGCAGTGTAACACGACCGCGATCCTGGTGAGCTCAGATCCCGAGGTGCAGGCTGCCGGGGTGGAAAAACGGTATTGTGGAGGCATGAAAGCGAATGTACTCTAAGGACATCCGGATAGCACCTATCCGGTTACAAGGAGAGTGAATGAAGAAATTAACCGAGCTAGCGCGTGCACAAGAGCTCACCTCGCACGTCCTCCAAAACTTTTCAAGTCTCTGGTATGGTTGCCACTATATATAACCTTTTAGTTTTTACATTTAACCTCATGTCAGCCAGCGATTTGTAATCAATGTTGGGGATCCCCTAATAGCTAGTCTATTGTGATTTGAGAATGTGAGAGTTTGGAATTTCGCACCAAAATTTATCAAAAAACGGCAGCTTTTGGTTCTTTCAGGCACCTAGCGTAAATGTATAGTATATCGGTAGATGGAAATCGTTGAACTTTCCAACCTTTAGTTAAAATCTTACTATTACTAATTAGAAGCCTTAACGGGAGTCTCCACGTTAATTCTCAAAAGACGCGCTAGAAAAAAGTTACTATTACTAATTAGAGGGCCTCAACGGAGCCTCCACGTTAATTCTCACCAGACGTGCTTAAAAAAAAGATAAATGCTAGAAATTCTCACGTTAATCAGAAACATCTAGCCATTAGTTGAAAGACTCTAACTATCTATAACCCTTAGATCTATTTTATTTTCTAAATAAATATCAACTTCGCAGTTATAGAGATAAAAAACATCTTAAAATCTCAATGTCCGGTGAAAAAGCCAACTTCGGCCCTACGGCAAGATTTCCCTACGGAAAAAAGATCTTGATAGGCTGTACGACATTCACAATTATTTTAATAACTAATAAAATATCTGATCGGGCTGCTCATCACATTTACGGTTTGTTAATATATTAAAAAATTCAGATCGACAGTGCCCATTCACAGTTGGTTATCCATCTATATCAACAAAATATGAAATAGAGGTTAATCTATCTAGATTTAATAAAACTACGAATAGGTTCTATCAACCCAACAAACCTTACTATTACTATTCACAGGCCTAACAATTGCATCTATTTAGTTTTCTAAATAAATATCTAACTCCGCACTTTTATAGATAAAAATAAATCACAATGTCCGGTAAAAAACAATTTTGGCCCTACGGAAAAGAAGTCTTTATAGATTGTACCGACGGCGTTCACAGTTATTAAGTAATATAAAATATCTGATAGGGCTACTCATCACATTTACTGATACAGTAAAGAAGTATAAAATCGGCAGTGCCCATTCACAGTTAGTTATCAATTAATAAAAAATCATATAGAGGTTAACGTTAATCTATTCATAGAACATCGAGTAGAATCCTTCAGCCTATATGCACGTGTGCCAGACTGCGATATATAAATAATCACCTCATAAACTAAAATTTTAAACTATGAATCCCTATTATACTATTGTATGAGTCGTTGTTGCCATGCAATCCACAACATTCGTTTTGTTTTATGCATAAATTAAAAAAATAAAGTTACTCTATGACAACTCAAAAGACAACCATTGGGTACTATATGAAACCACCTAATTAGATAACACTAATGTACTTACTCTAAAGAGGCCAGACAGTCTTAAAAAACAAGGCAATTTCGTCAAGTATACGGAACTAAGAATCCATATGTTTAATGTTCATCTAGAAGTTTTTAGCATTCATCAACTGAAAGATAATTCAAAATAACCCCTAAATTAATATCTACAATATCCATATTTGTTTTTTAGGGAACAATATCCATATTTGTCATTATGAAAGATAATTCAAAATAATACTCTCAGTTTACCTCTTCCATTATGAAAGATGATCCAAAATAATGCTCTAAATTTATAATTAAACTATCCACCTCTTCCAATATGAAATAAGTAAAATAACCATTGATATATTTTATAAATTATCCACATCTAGCTACCATTTATGAAAGATGATGTATACTAACCCCCGTGCATTTAGAATGCCCATATAGGCCATTATGAAAAAATTATAAAATAACACATTTGAATCAAAGTTTGTCACTATAAAGAATAAATAAAAATATCTCTCAATATACATGCAAATACTGATATAATCTATCATAGAAAATATCATGAAAAATAATCCAATAATTATAAAATATGCCATATATCTTTCTAAATTACGGACTTCTACACTCTTCATTAAAAATAAGCATATGCTATGTTCTATCATGTAGACCAAGCAAACATGTATATATTTGGACAAATGTATACATTTAGACTTGAAATTTATGTCATATCAATATTTATAATTTAATTTTGAGCATTATATATTTAAAAACAATATTATACACATAAGTTTTTGACTAACAAATTCAACATCTTAAGTACTGCAATGCAAGCTAAAACACCTATTTGTGTCATTATAAGAAATAAAATAGTAGTATAGGACATAAAGTCCTTTTTAAAATAAATTTAATAGTGAAAATATTGAATGAAAGATATAATAAGCACTAGAAGTTTAACTTTACATGTGGATAAAAAATTGCAACAACTAAATTAAAAGTTGAAAGCTAAAATATTGGTTCATGATGTTATAGGAAGGGATGCCACAAGAACTTATATAACTTAAGATCAGGTTTCAACTAAATATATATTATGCTAAAGAGCGGTCAATCCTAGAACTTAACTATACCCACATTTGCGGTTGTGTAAAACAACATAGCCCGTGAACCTAAATTTAAATCTAGCTAATTGTCTACCTACTATAACGACAGACAATCTACCGTAACTTATTAAATTTGCATCTAAATTAACATTCTGTCATTATTTAAAAACTAAAGATCCCCATGAATCTACAACTAAGTTATTTCAGCATCTTCGATTACAAAAAATATTTAACCATGAAGAACATATATGTTTCTATGTGACCAGATTATATTAATATTAATATATTAGAATTTGATACAGTAAACATACATATTGTGTCATCATGTAGATTATGTACACATGCATGCATGAGCGGTAAATATATATGTTGTGTTTCAGCAATCATGAAAATAATTTTCTTAACAACTCAAATACTAACAAATTATTTATAACTATATTGGTAAGAATGACATATAATTTAT